CCGGGAGGCGTTACCATCGGAGCCGGCCCGACAGTGGTGGCGGACGCCGCCTTCGGGGAAGAAGCAGACGCCGGCGCAGGCACGTCGGGGACAGAAGCAGCCGGCACAGCGAGCGCGCCAGGGGCAGGAACAGGGAGGTCAGGAGCGCCCCCAGCAGGAGCAGGTGCCGTCGGCGCACCAACAGGAGCAAGGAGGGCGGGAGCAGCAAGCGGAGCGGGCGGAGCGACAACTGGGGCAGACGGGCCAGGGTCACGCACGCCAAGGGGAGCCGCGGGTTCGAGGGGAGGAGTCTTTTCAGCGTCTGCTGTCGAGGGTTTCAGAGCCGGCGGTACAGGAGGCTTCGACGCCGTGGTCCCCTTTTCGGGTGCCGACTGAGGCCTGGCGACGACTGCCGACCAGGCGGCAGCGCGCTCTGGCGACGGCTCAGGCGCTCCAGCAATCACCATCTCTGACGCGAGGAAGTCGCGGGACGGTCCACGTAGCAGGAAGCGGAGTTGGCGGAGGACCAGAGAACGGATATCAGGAGGCGGCTCGGGTGGCTTTAACTAATTTAGAAGCAGCTAATGAAGATGACGAAAGAGGGGACTCCTCTTATAGGGAGGAGCCCACGCCAGATAGCGAGAATGAAGAAGGAGAGGAGGAGGGAGGCGGGGTGAGAGAGAGCTCTGGGAGACGAGAAGCAAGGGATGGGGAAGCACGAGTGCAAACGCCCCAGGAGGCACGCACGCCGTACGATGCCGATCGGACGGTGGAGATCCCAACATCTGCCTCGCCTGCGGGAGTGGGCCGTGCTCGACGAAATCGGGCCGCGAGTAGGGGTGCTGCGACGCGACCGGCCGCTCCGACTCCCCGCTATTTCTCACCAGAAGAATTGGCGAAGCGAACAGACCTGTTCGTTGCAATCGGGAATTGGGACATCGCGGCTTTGTGCGACAGTCGTCAGCCTTCGCTGTCACGGCGTTTACCGCCAAATCTATGTCAGCTGTTCTCGCTGGTGTTACTGACGCCGTTACTGCACCTCTCACGAAACCCAGAGTCAGAGACAGGTTGGCGGCTGCTGTTGTTTCTCCCGCGCCTGACTCTTCGCCAAACCTCGCCGCAACGACCGGACTGGCCAAAAATCAAAGCCCGGCTCCGAGCTTTCCAGCGTGGCGAATGGGAGCAACTGTACCGGGACACGGTAGCGGCAGTCAACACGCCACCTCCGCCTCGGCACAGGCCTGACGCGACCGGGGTAATCAAACGAGCCGAGGGCCTGGCGAAACGTGGCAGTCTACGACGAGCCGTCCTTGCCCTGGAGTCAACGCCAGTCTGCACGCCCTGCCCCGAAATTCTGGAGGAGCTGCGCCAGAAGCACCCACATGCTGCTGATGAGGAGGTGATCTGGCCGACGCCTCCGGAGGGGTCAAAGCTTTCAATCGCCCACGCGGATTTCGCTAAGATGTTGGGCAGATGCGACAATGGAGTTGGGGCAGGGCCGTCGGGGATGACATTTGAACATTTGCGCGACTCGGCGGTCACAAATGCACTGGTCAGCACCCATCTGCACGCCCTCGTTAACACCATCTTGGGCGGAAATTTGCCCGACTCGGTGGCAAATTTGTTGACCGCGTCGCGCCTCATCGCCTTGGCCAAACCTGGAGGCGGGGCTCGGCCAATCGCGATCGGTGAATGTTTGACGAGGCTGGCAGCCAAAGCAGCCCTGTCAGCTATGGGCGACGCTGCCCGCGACTTCTTTCTCCCACTACAGTACGGCGTGGCAGTGCCAGGTGGCGCCGAGACAATAATCCACGCGGCCAGGGCTTTCCTGGACGCCCGCCCCGCTAGCCTCGTGCTGCAAGCCGACATCAGGAACGCGTTCAACACCATCTCGCGAAAAGCCATCGCCACCGCGTTACAGACCCCCGCCCTCTCGCCACTCCTGCCGCTCGTCAAATTAACATACGGTAACCCGTCGCAGCTGCTCCTGGATGCAAATTTCGCGTCTGAACCACTCCGAAGTGAACGCGGTGTTCGCCAGGGGGACCCACTCGGCCCGCTACTGTTCGCGGCAGGGATGCACGCAACACTCCGCGACACTGCAGACACACACCCTGGTGTGCTCTGTTTGGCGTATGCGGACGACGTGACGTTCATCGGGGAAGCAGAAGACACTGTAGCAGCTTTCAACCACTTCACCAGCAAATGTCACTTCTGGGGCTCGAACACAACCCCCAGAAATGTGCCGCATGGAGCTCGAGTACAGTACAAGCGCCCCACCTACCTCCAGGAGTGCCGTTCTCAAAAGACGGCGTGCAGCTATTAGGCAGCTTCATCGGGCCTGACGACGGCGCGGCTACCTTCCTGGCAGAACAGCTGGCCGAAATGGCGAAGCCGTTGCCGCTGATTGAACGGACGGATCCCCAGGTAGCGGCACTGCTAATCACGCGCTGCATTTCGAGGCGCGTCGCGTACATGACACGGACAACGCCCCTGAGCCTCCTTCCCCGCGACAAGTGGAGCTAGTGGGGCATGGACCTCCTCACCACCCTCCTTACCGCCTGCGACCTCCGCATGCCGACCTGCCAAGCCGAGCAGACGAGGGTTTGGGAGCAGGCGTCGCTACCACCGTCTTTGGGGGGTCTCGGCATCACAAATCCCCTAGTCGAGGGGATCTACGGCTTCGCAGCAAGCTTCACCCAGGCGGCGCTGTTTCTCAACAACCTCGCGCTGGGTGACGTGAATGCGCTCGCGCAGGCGCGGGACCACATGCTCCTGCCGCGGGACAGCAGCACGCCTCTGCACGTTTGGCTGACGGGGTGTGAGGAGGCGCTACCGACGGACGCCCGCGAGATATTAGAGAAGGAGCGGCTCGAGCGATCTGACCTACGGCTGCAGCATGTCCTCGGGCTGCAGGTGCACGGCAGCAGATATGCCGTACAGGTGCAAGCGACGAGGCGCATGCGGCTGAATCCGCTCGCGGGTCATACGCAGCGGATGTATTCTCTGACTGGCTATGGCACAGGCGATTGGATCACGGCGGTCCCAGTGGCAGCGACGCGGCGGATAGGGCCAGTGCACTTTGCGAACGCGGTGCGCTTCCGTCTCGCCCTGCCATTCTCAACCCCTAAGAACTGTGACTGCCCTGAGCACACGGCCATCCCCGACCCCCGCCTTCCGAACCATCTGCTTCGGTGCGCCACAGGCAAGCACCGCACGAACACCCACAACGAGCTGCGGGACGCTTGCGTCAGCATGGCGCAAGATGCGGGCTTTATAGTCCATCGGGAGTCCACCGCCTACTGCCCCATCCTAAGTTGGATCTTACGTTTACGGTTCCTTACGTTTTCGTAAAATTACGACAATTTTTACGTTTACGAACGGTGGCCCTGATTCGGCCTTACGTTTACGGTCACCTCAAAACTTTTTTGAGCTGCCCAAGGGAAAAGAAATGACCAGAGTATTAGGGGGATTCATTGGGTAAACCATGAATCTGAATTCTCGATTCAGATCCAAGTTCGACAAGGGTGGTGTCAACCTAGCAGCTCGTTCGTAATCTATCGTGTTTCTCTCCTACTAACCAGGTCAACGCTGAATCTGAAACTTTCACGGACTCAAAAGGCCCTCCATACGTAGTAAAGTCGCTATTCTAGAAAAACACACGTCGGATTAGTAGTAAGGATCTAGTACACGTACATAATCCTGGAAAAAAAAGCTCTAAACTTTTTTTTTCCTGCCCGCCTCATACTTACGCGTAATTTACGTTTTCGTTTACGTTTACGCGAAATTTACGTTTACGTGACCTCCAAAAACGTAAGAGCCCAACTTAGGCCCCATCGAGGAACAGACGGCGGATTTCACCATGACAGACAGAAGCACCGGAGCCGTCTACATCTGCGACGTCACCGTCACTGATCCCATCAGCACCAGGGACCCAGAGGCTCAGAAAGGCAGAGGGTGGGCGGCCCGGGAGCAGGCCGACAAGAAGATTAAGCACTATGCCAACCGCCCGGAGACGGTTGGCTTTTTCCCCCTCGCAGTAGACACCTATGGCTGCCCATGCGCGGAGGTTCCGGTATTCCTTAAGCTTCTCGCGGACTCAGCGGCTCGGCGCCACTTCAACGCCGACTCAAAATCTTTCTATGCCGCCAAGTTCTTGCACCAATTCCGGCAGCGTTGGTCGGTAGCCCTCCAAAGGGCCCAGTCAGTGGGACTTCTCATGAAGTTGGGCGAGGCAGCAGCAGCAGAAAACCCCCCGGTGGGGGGGATTGGGCATGAGCTGCACCTGGGGGATTGTTTCGCAGTAGTAGAGCCCCTCTTAGAGCTTTAGAGAGGGGCGGTAGGATGATAGCAGGGGTGCTTTAGCATTGGTACTTTGTGTTGTTTGTTGCTTGCTCCATACTCTGCATGTGTGTACCTTCTTGATCTATCAATACACGGACCATTAGAGAGGGGGCGTGGGAGGAGCGAGGGAGGGCGAGAGGGGTAGGAAAAGGGTTCTTGTACACAAAATCAACCCTAGATGATTAACACCCCATGAATAAACCAGACCAAACACGCCCTGATCTCACCGTTAGTTGGTCCAGCGGCATGCAAACTTCCGGGCAGCCTGTGAGCTCGGGCAGCTGTTCTGCCTGCGAAACAAAATCCGACACTGCTTCGGGCAGCGGGCCGATCCACTTGTCTTTCTCAATGTCCCGCGTCTGAAGGGAGAAAGAGGGAGAGAGCGGGGAAAGGTGGGAAGGGGGGAGAGAAGGGGAAAGGGACACAATGTACCAATCCAGTACCACAGACATTGTCACTATACGGCAGTACCGTTAGATACAGATTGTCAACAGTGGAATGTAAAAAAAAAAAAAAAAAAAAAAAAAAAAAAGGAAAACTGAGTTTCTGATTCCAACAAGCAATATCATGAACCACATCAAAACCAAATGTAACTCCTTCTAAACAGTGTAGTTCAAAGCGTAACCGTGGTGCTGCATATTTTACCACTGTTGGTGTAACCACATCAGAATGTAACACTATACGTCCATGTTTAAGGCTCCTAACAAATCATTTCCACTTATATTGCATACAGTGTAGTTGAAGGCGTAACCATGGTGCTGCACGCGCCTCTTTGTCAGATAATGCCAGTCGTTGCCATCCGCAAAATCCAAAAGGCTCTGCAAGTTGACGGTGTGGGGAGATGGGAAAGGAGGGTTGTGGGTTAAAGAGGGAGTGGGAGGAAAGAGAGAAAAGGGAAGACACAGTCCGACCATTCTACTTGTTTGACAATTATGCTTGAAATAGAGGAGAGGGGAGAGGGAAACAACAGTCTCGCCATTGTGCTTGTTACTGGTACAGCTGACACCTTAACCCCTGAACTCCAACCTCTCTCACCCGTTCTATCTTTCAAGTGACAGAAACGAGGTGCAAAGACAGCCCACTGGCAGTGATATTGTCGGAAAATGACATTGCCTTTACCTTGAACCCTGAACCCTCCCCCTCCCACCCTCTCACCTGTTCCATCTCGGGTGTGACAAAATCGAGGTGCAGGAACAGCCCCGGTATAGCGAGCGCGTCGACATTGTGGTGAACCACCGGATGCTCCACCTGCACAGGAAAGAAGCAGTAGAGTAGAGAATAAGCAAACCCCTAAACCCGGATTAGTCCCAGATATGATGCGATCTGATGCGATCTGACCAGCACACCCACGTCCTGACATCATATTATTATCCAAAAAGTACCTATTCAAAATGATTTTGTTTATAACAGAGATTCTCGAACAGTGCATACCGGCGCGGATCGCTTCCCCACGGCGAACTGGACGTGCATCTTCCTCCCGCACGCTTGCCTCTTGAGGTTAAAGGTTTTGTTTCGAAGACGCCTACAAGACCTACGAGAAGTGCCAGAAAGCCCTACCGGCGCGGATCGCTTCCCCACGGCGAACTGGATGTGCATCTTCCTCCCGCCCGCTTCCGCGCACGGCTTTCCGCTCAGCGCCTGCAGCGCCGCTTCCGCCGCGGCGGAGGCTTCCGCGCGCGAGCGCCCGCCGAAAACGACAAAACAGCGGGTGAGGTTCGCGGCGCCGGCGGGGATGACGCGGCGGACGTGGCCGAAGGAGGAGAACACGTCAGCAAGGGCTGCATACGTCATCTCCGCCTCAGCACCGCAGTTTGCCACGTAGAGATACGGCGTGGGCGGGGGATTCGGGCCCTTGGGGCGGGTAAAGAAAAGAGAATCTAATCCCTCGTCGCTCTCGTAGTTAATCTCTTCGTCGGCCATTTTGCGGAATGACTCTGTGCGCGTCGAACCCGTGCGACACGGTATCGAACTGTTAAAAGTTTTAGCTAAATGACAAAGACCTAAAGATCAGGGCTGGCGAATACCGCCTAGGCGCTGTTCGACGGCCTTTGATGGTAGTCAGTGAGGTTTGCGAAGGTATTTGCATTTGCAGGAGGAAAGGGTGAATTGGTCGGTGCGCAGCACAATCTCGGAACGAAACGCAATAGGTGACAAAAGTCATTTCCACTTGAATTACCAGGAAAGGTTTTCCAGGCATTGGGGACTGGATGCGACTGAATGTTAGAATTGGGTTACATTCAGACGGGGATAAAGGAGAAGGGACCAGCGAGGCCGAGAAGGTAAAGTAGTGGCGAAATAATCACAGTTAGTTTCGCGAACATCCACGAGATCCTTCTTGTGTTCCGGTCGCATGGCACGGCGATTGCGAACTCCCACTCTGTCCCACTCTGCGCCCTGCATTTCGTCAACGCTCACTACAGTCATCTCGCCACGAGAAAACCATTTCGGCTCGTGTTTCTGACTGGTCAATCGGCCTCAACCACGAGGCTTTCCAGCCAAGTCAGGCGGTCCGCGCTTCGATTTCTCAATTTCGCATTTCTCTCGATCTTGGAGTCTCAAACTCGCGCCTCGGGTGAGTACTGGAATCTCTGGTCCGTTGAGAAGTCTTGCACAAACTTGTTCCTCTTTCACTGGAAAACAACGCCATTTCGAGTTTGAGATTGAGAAGCTCATGACAGTCATGCCGCCTCCTACTCACGCTTCCTTGCTTGATCCGAATCACTGCTACAGGCTGGCGAGGTCAATACAGGGTAGCGTCCTAGGTTTGTACTGTCAATTCTATAGCTCAAAATAGACGAAATGTCAAGCTATGCTGTAGTCATTTCGATAACCATGGCGCCTTCACTGAATAAGCTTTCAGGTCGCAGCTTCCATTCAAAACTTGGCCTGATGAGGCGGAAATTTCTCAGCGGGCGTCAACAGAGAGTGGTTGATGCACGCGGTTCGACTCTACCAGAGAAAGATTCTCATGCTTTTCCTCATGCCGATGCTTTTCTCCGCCCTTTTACCGTTCCCGGCCATGTCTTCCGCATGGTAGCGTCGGCACCAATTAAATCTCTAACATTCCTCGATAACGTCACCACGCCGATGCTAACGCTAGTAGCATCGCCAACGCTGGTAGCGTGAATAAAAGGCCGCCGAAACCTGTCCGTCAACCACACTGGCTCATCTCCCGTCTCTCGTCTCTCGTGATCTCTCGCCCGACAGTCTTTATCAGAACTTCAAATCTTGAAACGCTTTCACAACTCGCGTCAAACCAAGGCGAGTCAGTCGGGACTGACTAGTACTAGCGCGCCGCCACTCAGCGTGACGCATCAAGTCATCCCGGAACGCGTCGCAGCGCTCCGTTGATTGTTCTGCAATAAAGCCGGATCCATGGTTATCACTCCGTCTTCAGAACGAACTTTGCTTCGATCCGCCATGGAACTCCGTCCCTTTCGCCTCTCCTTGCTCCTCCTCCTCCCGCTCCTCCTCCTCTCCTCCCCTCCCCTTTCCGCTGCTCAATCCACGCCCTCTAATCTCCCTACCATGGCCAGCAGCAGCAGCAGCGGGGTTACCGGAAGCAGCGTCGCTTATCCAGCTGTTTCTGCTGCGGTGGCTAATGCGCGGAGAGGGGTAGGCGGAATGATGAGGGGAGGGGGAATTCCCGGACTGCCCTCGCCTTTTGAAGTCACCGATGGTTCCGCCACTCCCGGTTCCGCCACCCCTGGTTCCGCCAACCCTGGTTCCGCCACGTTCGAACCGCTGCCGATCCGACCTCCTCCATCACCGCCCGCTTCTTCTGCTGCCGGTGCCTCCGGCAGTGGCAACACCCCTGGTGCTGGTAATGCTGGCAGTGGTGCTGCTGCTGCAGCAGCTGGTGCGGTGGTAGGCGGTTTGGGAGGCGTGACAAGCGGTGCAGCCATGGGAGGCCTGGTTGGGAAGGAGGCTGGGAAGGGGAAGGGGTGGAAAGCGGTGGAAGCAGAGGCTATCACCGCTGCTGCTGGAGGGGCGCTGGGGGGGCTTGGGGGAGCTCTGGGGGGAGGTTTGGGGGGAGGCTTGGCGGGAGGTTTGGGGGGAATTCCGGTCCTGCCCTCCCCACTCCCTACTCTTCCTTCTGCTACCGTTCCAACCCTCCCTTCTGCTGCCCTTCCCCCGCTTCCTTCTGCTGCCGTTCCATCCCTTCCTTCTGCTGCCCTTCCATCCCTTCCTTCTGCTGCCCTTCCATCCCTCCCTTCTGCTGCACTTCCCCCTCTCCCTTCCGGTGCCCTTCCCTCCCTCCCTTCCGCCTCCCTTCCCCCCCTCCCTTCCACTTCCCTTCCCACTTTCCCTTCTGCTGCCCCTCCTTCCACTCCTCCCGCCGCAGCCAATACCACCTCCTCTTCCCTGCCCCTCCCTTCCCCCTCTGCCAATACCACCTCCCCCTCAATGCCTTCCCCTTCCCCCTCCGCCAATACCACCTCCCCCTCACTGCCTCTCCCTTCCCCCTCCGCCAATACCACCTCCCCCTCACTGCCTTCCCCCTCCCCCTCTGCCAATGCCACCTCCCCCTCACTGCCTCTCCCCTCCCCCTCTGCCAATACCACCACCCCCTCACTGCCTTCCCCCTCCCCCTCCGCCAATACCACCTCCCCCTCACTGCCTTCCCCCACCCCCTCCACCAATACCACCTCCCCCTCACTGCCTCTCCCTTCCCCCTCTGCCAACACCACAGCCACCCCAGCACCTCCCCCCTCTTAGAATGGCACAACAACCGCACCACACCACTTCCCCCTTCCTCCTCCTCACTGTCCCCTAGGGATCAGACTCACCCCCAGAGATCTCCCCTCCACTGCCAGTGATCCCAACCCTTTCAGCCCAGTGTAAATACACGTCTCAGTACAGTTCCTTAGGATAAATTTCTGGGGAGGTCTGTACCCTTCTTGTGTACTGATAGCTGATAATACTGTATGTTTGTTTACATGAAGAATTCATAACGTTTCTCTCCCCATTTGTTTATGTGCACCAAGCCATGTTTTGCTTGTTGAGCTAGATGAATTTACCTCACATTGACCAAGGTCAAAGAAACACAGTATAATGCCATGTGTGCTTTTGGTGCCTTAAGTGAGTAGTTGTTGTGGAACAACATAATGCATCACATATGGAACAAGAGGTCGTTCGTCGCGAGGCATTTGTTGATACAATTGATGCACCAACACGGCTCCCATAATGCACACATGAAGCTTGATAATGCAAGCTAAAACTTCACGAGGACTAGTGGTGAAGAGCAGCACGGTAACGGAAATAGCACGTGACATTTGCATTTAGTGACTTCTGTGTGTAATGCGGCTGGGGGACGTTCACAGCTTTGGGTGTGCATATCGACGAACGTTGAGTGCGTATAGAGTTTGCATTGAATTTACAGGTTGTCCAAAATGAGGGCTCTCGCTTCTCACTAGTCATCGCAAATCATTTTCTTCCGCAACGCACGTCGTCGAATCGTGAGGCCGTTTCCATTTTTGACGAATCGCGACCTTCCAAATTTCTCAATTTCTCAATTCCGAATTCGCGTCCCTCCAAAATGCGCCCCCCCCCTTCAACCCCATCCCAATTCCCAATGGATTTCAGAAAGCTGGCTTCCCCTTGAAAGCACCGAAAGGAAGAGCATTATATAGACCGAAGGCAGAGCATTACAGGTCCCATCCCATGGCTGCTTCCGTTCTGGCTTCTTCTTTCTTCTTTCTTCCACCTGAACTTTCAATTCCAGCTCTCACGGCCCTTCCTCTGCTCGCCGCGGTACTTCTGCTGCTTGTCTCAAGCACTGGTACACGTCGTTTGCAGTTCCTTTTGAAAGATCCCTATGACGATAGACATCATTCCGCCTCGAAAAGTGCACGGCAGCGCTACTTTTACAATGCGTGCGCCCTGGTGCTTGCAAAATGGGAGGTTGGAAAATTGCGGAGGGTAACGAGGTGATCGATTCGACTCGCGGTGCTCCCGACATAAGATGACAGGCGACACTATAACACCACGAGTAACTCAGTTACGTACGCGCTGCGGCGGTGTGATTCTTCCGCAGACGTTACGTACCCGCTGCGACGCTCCCGAATCGAAAAGAATAGCCGACGTCATAGAATAAGCATTAACGTCACCGCGACGCTCGGAAGCGAGCCTCCAGTGCCTTGGGTGTCAGCGTTGCAACTAGTAGACTTCCTAATTTCCGATTCTCGAGAGAACCGAGGACGCCAATGTCTATCATATCGATCTTTGACGTGGGACTCGCCGTTCCGAAGAGAGTTCGCCGACTCACAGGCAAATACAGCCACTATTTTTCGCTTCCTTTGGCCACTAGTGCGCCTCGCTACCTCCGCCGCTACATACGGTCGCTTCCCTGGTGTTTCAGTGGATCGGAAGTTCCAAAGCTAGAAAAACTGAGAAACACGGGGAAGCGACCGCGCATATCTACTGCAGCGAGTCCCTGGTGGTAAAAAACGCGCTCCATTGCTTTCTCCTTCCCCGCCGCGGCTCGTTTCGGTGTTTGGTTCGCGTTACGAGCCCGAGAGCTCTCCAAGGTTCAAGGGCATCGTGAATGCTTCCCGACAACCACCCTCCCAGCCCCCTCTATAACTATCGAGAAACTCTGGAACGATCGGTCTAGTAATGCTCAGGAAGCCTATAATAGAAGGAGATTCGTTTTCCTCGGAGAACCGTGGGGGCCACGAAAGATCTGACTCACGTGGTCCGAGTTTTGAGGCGTCTCAAAACCAATATTCATCACGAAAGAGCTAAGTCACGTGATTCGAATGGACTCAGACGGGACACCTTTTCCCCTCCCCGTCAGAACGAGAACTCGATTCCGCGTCGCCACTTTTGCCCAATGGTTTGCTTCAATTCGCTCCTCGCCTCCGCTCACTTCAGCTCACTCCCGCCATCCCCATCCGCTCCTTCCCCACCTCAATTTGACTCCCTTACCCGTCATCTCTATTCTCTTCTTCCTCAACTTCGTTCTCTCCTCCCTTCCGCTCTCTCCCGCTCGCTCCCTCCGTCCGCTGCTCATTCCCCGCCTCGACGACCCCTATTCCACGCAAGGAGCAGTTCCAACATTTTCCGGGCCTGCCCCTCCCGCGTTTCTCCGTTTTTTCACCGAGCTGCCCGTGAGCAAGGGCGAATATAGAAAGACGAATTACCCGGTTACCACTGTCCCCGACTTGGTAACCACTGGGATAGGCAGTCTTTCGCAACAAGAAGACGGTGCTGGTGGTGCTGGTGGAAAGGGCATTGGCAGTAGCAGCAACAGTGGCAGCACAATCAGCGGGAGCAGCAGCGATGGCAGCAGCGGTGGCGGCACGATGGTGTACCAGTTTCAGACCAACAGTCAGACGGCGACGGTGACGGATTCTGGCAACGTTACACAGAGCAACGTCCAGTCAGAAACGGCCTTCGGAAGTCCGTCAGAATCGTCAAGTACTAGCAGCAGCAGCGGCAGTGGATCACCATCAGCATCACCAGCACCAGCACCAGCCCCGGCATCAGCATCAGCACTAGCATTTGCTGCAAGGGGCGAAGGAGGAAAGGGTGGAAAGGGCGGAAAGGGAGGGAAGAAGGGGAAGAAAGGGGAGAAGAAGGGTTTCAAGAAAGGCGAGGAGGAAGCTGTAGGGGCGGTTTTGGGGGCAGCACGGGCGGCGGGACCAGCAGTAAGCGCAGCAGCAGGGGCAGCAGCGAGTGCAGCAGCGAGTGCAGCGAATGCAACAGCTGCAGCAGTGGAGGCGGAAGCAGAAGCTCTAGGGGAGACCTTTGCTTCCGCCATTGCGCCATCCCTCACCATTCCGCCATCTCCAGTCATAGTGCTGCCCTGTGCGCCGCCCCTTCCCCCGCTTCCACCTTTTGCTGCTCGTTTCTTCGCCCCAGCTCCTCCTCCCCCGCCTTGCACTCCCTTTCCCTCGTTCCCATCGCTCCCTACTATTCCTTCCGCCCTCCCTCCACTCCCTTCCGCCCTCCCTCCACTCCCTTCCGCCCTCCCTCCTCTCCCTTTCGCCCCTCCTCTCCCTTCCGCCCTCCCTCCTCTCCCGTCCGCCCTCCCTCCTCTCCCGTCCGCCCGTCCTCTCCCTTCCGTCCCTCCACTCTCTTCCGCCCCTCCTCTCCCTTCAGCCTTCCCTCCTCTCCCTTCAGCCTTCCCTCCTTCCCCTTCCGCCCTCCCTCCTCTCCCTTCCGCCCTCCCTCCTCTCCCTTCCGCCCCTCCTCTCCCTTCCGCCCTCCCTCCACTCCCTTCCGCCCCTCCACTCCCTTCCGCCCTCCCTCCTCTCCCGTCCGCCCTTCCCCCAATACCTCCCCGGCCTTTTGCCCGCCCCCCACTACCCTCCGCCCTCTCGCCACTACCTTTTGCCCTCCCCCCTCGCCCGTCCGCCCTCCCCCCTCGCCCGTCCGCCGTTCCCCCTCGCCCGTCCGCCGTTCCCCCTCGCCCGTCCGCCGTTCCCCCTCGCCCGTCCGCCGTTCCCCCTCGCCCATCCGCCCTCCCTCCCCTCCCTGCCGCCATCCCGCCTCTGCCTGCTGCTCCACCGCCTCTGTCACCACCCTTCTTTCCCCCCCTGCCCTCTCATGCCCTTCCCCCAAGCCCCTCTGTCGCAATTCCCCCCACCTCTCCTGCCCTTCCCCCAAGCCCCTCTGTCGCAATTCCCCCCACCTCTCCTGCCCTTCCTCCAAGCCCCTCTGTCGCAATTCCCCCCACCTCTCCTGCCCTTCCTCCAGGCCCCTCTGTCGCAATTCCCCCCACCTCTCCTGCCCTTCCTCCAAGCCCCTCTGTCGCAATTCCCCCCACCTCTCCTGCCCTTCCTCCAAGCCCCTCTGTCGCAATTCCCCCCACCTCTCCTGCCCTTCCTCCAAGCCCCTCTGTCGCAATTCCCCCCACCTCTCCTGCCCTTCCTCCAAGCCCCTCTGTCGCAATTCCCCCCACCTCTCCTGCCCTTCCTCCAAGCCCCTCTGTCGCAATTCCCCCCAAACCCTCTCATGCCCTCCCCCCAAGCCCCTCTGTTGCCGTTCCTCCCGAGCCTCCTGCCGCAGCTGCTCCCAGACCTGCTTCGGTCCCATCCAGACCTCCTGCTGTCGTTGCTCCCAAACCTGCTCCATTACATCCCGGACCTCCCACCGCAGCTGCTCCCAGACCTGCTCCAACTCCTCATGCGCCTCCTGCCACAACTGCCCCCGAACCTGCTCCAATCCCACCCAAACCCTCTGCTGTCGTTGCTCCCAGACCTGCTCCGACTCCTTCCGAATCTCCTGCCACAGCTGCTCCCAAACCTGCCCCAATTCATCCCAAACCTCCTGCTGCAGCAGCTCTCAGACCTGCTCCAGTCCCCTCCAGACCTCCTCTTGTTGCTCCCTAGCCTTCCATCCTCCCTATTCCTCATTGTTCGTCCTCATTCATTTCCTCCCTAACTTCCTCAGTTCCACCCTTCGCCCCAACCTTGAAAGGGGCCATCAGCTACTTGTGCTGGTGGCTCTTTACCTTCCAGCTGATACACCCACTCCAGTGTACAACAGTACGTACAAGCTGTATTATATTGCAGATGCATGAACATTATTATGTCTCTGCTTTTGTTCAAGAGTGTGTTTTCATGGCAATGATGTGTTATCATATGCAAAAGAGAAAAACACAATACCATAACATATAATACAAAATCAGAGCACATGGAGGCCTAACTAAGCACATTGAATCACATCAAATCGCGGATCCCTCAAAGACATCCTCCCACATCAACTACCCCAGAGGCATTATCCCAGACTAGGGTAAGTGAAATGACAATTTAGTCTCGGGTAGTGGGCATGACAGGGTGCCTTTGAAGCTATCCGCAAGGATGTGACCATTCGGTGTAGATGTAGTGGGAGCAAGGGTGTGGATGGAGGAAGGGAAGGTGAGGAGCGGAGGGAGTGTGGGAGGCGAGGGTCGTGAGCAGCAATTCGCAAAGGCGTGATGGTACTACTAGGTGACGGAGGAGGTGATGGAGGACGGACAGGGCGAGGAGGAAGGAGAAGGTGGGAAAGGATGGAGGGGGTGACGGGAGGGACCAGGGATCAGGCAGCACAGAACGAGTAGTAACCGGGTAACCAGCAATCTTCAGTGCAGCACCCAATGCCCCACCCCATTCACTGCCACAGCCTCTCCAGGCAACCTAAAAGAACACATCCCAGAGTGAGTTGTAACCAGGTAACCAGCATGCCTCTGCTTCAGTGCAGCACCCAGCGCCCCTCGCCATTCGCTGCCACAGCCTCGCCAGGTAACCTAAAAGAACACATCCCAGGGTTATCATTTCCCCTCCCAGCAGCAGCACCGAGAGTTCCGCTGTCACCAGCAGAAGCAGAAGAATTCTTCTCAGCAGGAGGAGGGGAGAACATGGGCCCTGGCATGGCATGGCAGTGCCGCCCCTCATAGCTGGTTACCACAACACTCGGATCCGTAACCGCACGCTCCACGTGCTTGCGCACGTTACACCCCGCGTGCGTGCACTTGTAGTAACTGCGCGGATTAGGGTTACCGCGTACCACCTTCTGCCCGTACTTGCGCCAGCGGTAACCGTCGTCTAGAAGCTCCATGTTACTGCGTAACTCCACGACCAGCCTCGGTTCTTCGATCACTTGCTGCGCGCATACCAGCACCGTTTCGGCGCTTCGCCGCAGCTTCTTATCCGCGGCTCCAGCAGCTTCGTTATAAGCTGCTTCGCTAGTAGCTGCTCCGTTGTGAGCAGCTTTATTGAGAGTTACTGCCGCGTTATAAGCTGCTCCGCTGGTAACATCCTCGTCCATTCCGTCAGCTGACAGGTCCCCAGAAGATAAACCTACCCCAGGTAATGCCTTCCTCTTCCTCTCCCCACTCGCACTCGAACCTCCACTGCTCCCTGTGGGTCCCTCAGAACCAGGAGCAGGGTTGGTAAGATCAACGGCTGAGATTTGCAGGTTGGCAGGGGCGGATAAACGGCTGTGATGAAGGAACAGCCTCTTCCCCCAGAGCCTCTCTTGTGACCCATGGCAGTCTGTAGCAGTGTTGCAAGTCTGGTTACCAGAAGGGTTACCAGCAGGAGAAGGCAGGGGAAGCTTGGGGGAAGCGGTAGAAGCAGCAGCAACAGCATCCCTGTCACTGTCCTTTGTTGTTCCGTCCATGTCTTTTCCGATCGACTGGCTTGAAAAATCATGTGGCTCCTGCTCCTGACTTTCTGTCTCGGGCAGCCCGGGAGGTGGGTGGGTGTGCAGACCCCGATAAATCCTCTCCAACACCTCCCCATCATCTGCCCGCTCCTCCGTTTTTCTCACCGGGCAGCCCGGATACGTGCAGCGAAAATAAAGTCGAGGGTGCAGGCAGCCTTTCACCATTTTCTGCCCGTACTTTCGCCAGTTGTAACCGTCTTCGGCAGGCACCAAAATAAATTCCGTGTTGCTGCCCGCCTCCAGTCCCTCCATGCTCCGAAATTTCCGGCCTGCCCGAGACTTGCTCCCAAAGGTCTCAAGACCTTCTGAAACTTCCATGTGCTTGCTGCTTCGGTCGTTGCTGCAGCTGTTATCCCTTCCAAGAAGCTTCTCACCGCCTCTCTGCTGTTCACACCCACTCCCACTGCCACTGCCACTTGTGCCGCCCACAAGCGAGTCAAAGAAGTCAAACAGGTCGTTGAGATCATCTCCTGATTCGCCCTTCCCTCCAAAGTCAACAAAGTCAACGAGTTCCAGCTTCCCTGGGTTCTCCACACCAGACGTTGGGGTCTCCTCCTCACCCTCCAGCGCAGGCTCGAACATTCCCGAGCCAGTAGGCTCGGCGGCGTCCGAACCTGGCACTGTAACGGGTGGTGGTTTCAAAGGAACAACTTTTGTCAGCGCGGAAATTGCAGCAGGCGGAGGGGGAATCGTGTGGGGGGGAGGAAGTGAGGCGGAGAGGGGGAGAACTAGGGCGGGGAGGGGGAGAGGCGGAGGTGGTAGGTTCGAACACGCTGTAGCGACAGCAGGTCCGGCTTGTGCCGAGGCTGCGCTGCCTGCCGAGCCTGCTGCCGAGCCTAGGGTTGGGCCAGGGCGGCCGGCCATGACAGGCGACTCGAGGAGCGCGGCTGGACTGATTCCCGCGTCGATTAAGGCGAATGGGGACGCGACACGTGTAGGAGCTCCTTGAAAAGAGTAGCCACTTTTTGTTGCATCAGGTGCTCTTGGATATGATTGGTCAAAACTTTGCTGCTGCTGCTGTTGCTGCGGGTAAGTGGGTGGTCGTATTAGGAGCGTTCCCGAATCGGGGACGGTTTGGGACGGCTGGCCGCGCTCCGGGATCAAGTGCGACACGGACGGCGGCGGAACCTTCTGCGACGCGGAGGACGGAGCGCGCGCGGCGAGACGCGACGCGAAGCTGCGGCGTTGCCGAGCAGGCGAGCGCGGGGAATGCGGGGAGCGCGGCGATGCGGATGAGCGAGGGGAGCGCGGGGAACGCGGGGAGCGCGGGTTACCGCAGCTGCTTCCGCTGCTCCCGCTGCCGTTGATCAGCACGTCTTGGCGGGAAATGGCGGCGCCAGAAAGCGACGAGTTAAGATTGGCTCCGGGAAACGAGGGGAAGGATCTAAAGAGGCTTCCTATCCCCGCTGTAAGCCGCCCCGTAGTATCACACTCGACATTGCCATCATGGGAGCCCAAATCGCTGAAAGCCCCAGCCGCCCCGGAGACCGCGCCCGCAACACCGGGTTCTGACGTGGACTTCGGGAAGTGTCTTACGTGGTTGGGCGCCTCGGCCGTTTCCGCCGTTTGCGGCGGCGGTTGCGGCGCAAGTTCGGCGGCTCCCGCCGCGGCCTCCGCTTTGATGATGAGCGCGCGGAGGCGTTCCGCGAGCGGCGCGCGGGGGTCTTCGATCAGCGGCGCGGCTGACGTGGCGAGCGCGTGGAGAATGCTCATCGAAGTCTGCCGCGAAGTCGAAGAGAAATCCATTCCAATCGCGAAGACGCGGTTCCGTCGCGGCAGTTCTCTACCAGGAAAAGAATATACACCGCGTAGTAACTACTGCGGAAAAAAACGGTAACTCGCGGCGGTAGCTTGTCCCTAGCTCAGGATCAAATAATCGCCACTGATCAAAAGGCGATATATTATCACCGATATAACCACGCGCGCGCGATTGTTCTCGAGTGCACTGAACGATGCTTTTCGCTGAAAGAGGTGGACTGCCCATACGACTTGTGCTTCTTAGAGTCGTGTCGTGATAGTAACCTCGAGTCACTTTGCGCGGGGAAAGGAGGGATGATCGGGATGAGGAACAAATGTCGGCGACACTAAATTTAAATACTCCCATGTGGTAGGGCTCGAAGACCGATAGTCAACGTCGCAACGGCCAAAAGAATTGGCAGGCAGAAGTGGCGTGGGCCGCGGCCCGAGGACTGAGCGGGGGGACGCATTCCGCGCGCCCATTGCGTGGATAACTCCGCTCACCAGCACAGTCTCCGCCGTTTGCGCGGTTCGAGGTCGCGCATACCTTGCGGTCTAGAATCCGTGCCATCAGGATGCGACTGGGATGGGAAACGACTGGACCTGGCCCTCCTCGCTCGCTTGCTGCTCACCTAGACCTTCCTCTTCTGACTGATCTCCCCCCATTTTGCGCTGCCTTTCGCGCGGCCGCGGTTGTGGCGCTTCATGTGCTTCTCTCTACCTGAGGCTGTGTGGCTGCTTGCCAGCCTGCCAAAGCAGTGCTTCGCTACATGTCGACAGATGTGGAAGATTGGGTTTGCAGATTCTCACCGCCAGCACATGCATCAGATGACGTAAGGGGATGCGAGAGGATACGATGGGAGGAGAGGCGAGGAGAGGAGAGGAGAAGAGAGGAGAGGAGCGAATAGGGGGCTGTTGGTGCGGGATGGAGGGGACAAGGAATTGCTGGGGGAGGGGAGGGCGGGGGCGAACTTGTGAAAGAAAACTAGCAGTTGTGGCCTGATTGCGGATCTTGCGGAAGGGGTCATGGCGGGGGGAACATCTGTGTGGGAAAATACTTGGGCAGGGGCGATTGCCCCATCTTGTTGCTGTATATTCTGTGGTGCCCAGGTTGCAATTTCTGTGTGTGAAAAGGCAGAAGCACAATTGAAGGGGAAAATTGAAATTGAAGGGGAAAATTTGGGCTCAATGTTGCGAGAAATGGTGCTGGAAGTGAAGGGTGTTCACAACTGAGGAAAACAAGTGCGGCACTTGCGGACGTGGTCGGTGGGTTTGATAATCGGATCAGGCAAAAGCAAGGGGGTTCGGGGGGTGTGATGTGAGAGGGGGAATGGGGAAAATGTGAAAAGCATCTGCGGAATGCCTTGGCGACTCGGGGACTTACGCAATGCCCGAGAAAGGATCGACGCTGACCAGTGCAGCATGACGACATGGGGCAACATTAATCGCCACAATTCGTCTCTGCTGTCGTCTAATTTTGTAACCCGATTTTTATGTCCTCGGGTGATCTCACCTTACAAAAGGGATTATCACGAAAAGGCGCCGCTAGGTATCAGTTGATCGAACTTCGCAGTTTCGCGAAGGTGACGCTATACAACCGGAACTGTAGAAGAAACTCCCTATGTCAGAACAAAATGGTGTTGTTCCCACTGTTCAGTGTCGGCGCATACAGCTGTCCAGTATGCTCTGTCTGGTGCGCCCTTCAGTCCTGAAGAGGGGGGAAAACTGTACAGTACAGCACATCATGAAGGTTGGGAGAGTTTCCTTTCTTTGGGCACATTGTGGCAAAAACTCGGTCGAGTTTGACGAAGTCAACATTGCCCAAGTATTGTTCACCATCAACTTCAAACTCGGTTGAGAACTGTACTCTGACCTCTTCACTTCTTGAACCTGAATTTCTGAAGGGCTCTGGGTAACAAGGTAGGGCATAAAGACCGTTTGCTTCAGTGTCCGTTTGTAGAGAAACCGTTGCCCTCGGCGTGTGAAGTGTTGGCAGCTACACGCACAGTGTTGGCAGGACGCGAGGAGCAGAGATGAAGGTCTCCAAACAGCCCGTAGAAATGGGTAATCAGACTGGGCAATTTGAGTCGACTTTGAATTCCAAAGAATGCTGACAGGCATATTTGTCAGCCAGGGTAACTAGTAAATCACCTGGTAAAGTGTACTCTCACTTATTACACGGGTTGTTTTATGGAATTGTTTATTTCACAGTTAAGATATACACTACTTATTAGTACTGCAAACTCCTACTGCCAAGCGTAGGTTGAAGTGGGTGCTTGACGACCCTTAGAGATGTTGCAATTCATAGTTTTATATGTGCCATAGGTGTGCAACAACTAGACTCAATATGGCCAAGGTTATGATTCATTATGACAAGGTTGTTTACATTTGTTATGAAAATGTTATAAAATAATTTCAACGTATCATTAAAAATCGTATTTCAATCCTATGGTTCTTGGGTTTTCACAACATTATGTTTAAAGCGACGGTACACATTTGCCACCCAAAACCCAGAACCCTGGCGAACTGTTACTGCAGATGAAAAGTGTCTGCACGAAATCCTGGTTTTCGCCAGCCAACACTTTCGCGCTGGTTTGCCTGGTTCAAAAAAAAAACTTCTGAACCCAACACTGCCAAAAGTTGCCCGTCGCTTTAAGCGCTGCCAGAAGTAAAAGCATATGTAATTAGACTATGTATTTGCTGATGTGCACACTCTTCCGACCAAAATTGGATAACAGATCCTCCATACAAGTTTTGGGTTCTGGAGAATCTCGAAGCTGGATGTCAGGTTTTGCAGGTATCCTCGAGATTTCAGGTCCCGTTTTTTTCCCCCCTAACTTCCTAGAGTCTGAATCCTATTTCCCAGGTTTAGTTTCCTCCCTCAAGCCGCCAATCCACCCTGGTCCGCTTTCGCGTTCCACCGGACTGTTTCACACCGTCTCCACCGCTTGTTCGTTCCTCGCCTTCTTAGGGAGTATACCTCGCAATGGCGGCTGCAGCGCTTGCCACGTCAGCAGCAGTCGGTAGCATCAGTGGCTACCGGCCCGCCAGCAAGCTCTCCGGCGCTTGTGGGTTGCTGTACTTCCACCCCTCCGCTATTTACTTAGTTAGTTAGTTCGTTCGTTAGCTAGTTAAAAAGTTCGTTCGCTTGTTTGTTGTTCGTTTGTTTCCCGTACCTAGTGACATTCCTTTCTCTGGTAACCTCTACGCTCCTGCGCTTTCAACTCTGTCTATTCTTGCTCTTTCCGACTGTAGAGGCGCCTTAGAACTCTGTATATATCCTCGCTGTTTCCGTTTTGATGCGCATTAGTGCGTCTCCACGAGTCTCTAACCTTGCGCTCCATTCGGAGAGCTTTCGGAAAATTTATCTGCGTTGAGTTTCTTCTCTCCTTTCTCTTGCGCTCCTAACCCCTTTCCGCACCAACCGCGTTTCCCCCCTTCCCGTCCCCCTCCCCCTCCTCCCTTCCTCACCCTTTCCGCGCGGCCGTTCCCCCGATCTCCCCGCGGCTGCCTTCACGCAGCCCTCCGCTCGTCCTCCGCCTTCACCCTCACCCCCATCCGCGCGCTCCCGCCGCTTCCCTCCGCCGCCGCCGCCCGCCGAGCCCCCCCCTCCGCGCCCTCGCGCGGGGGCGCGGTGGTTCCGCGCGCCGTCATCGCGGGGCTGCAGGTCTCGGCGGCGTCTGTGGCGCAATGGGCGGCGCGAATGGCGGGGTTTTACCTGCTGGTGAAGCTGGGAGTGGCTGGAGCTGAGAAAGGTGAGAAGAGGAGAAAGACGAGGGGCAGGTGGACGGTTTAGGTTAACTGTGGGGTCAGCGGGGTCAGCGGGGTCAACGGGGTCAACAGGGTTGACTCAGTTAAGGCGCACGGCGTTTTACCTGCTGCTGGTGAAGCTGGGAGTTGCTGGGGCGGAGAAAGGTGAGAAGAGACGAAGGAGCGACAAGGGGGTATGAATACAGTAGGGGGTAGGGAGATTGAGAGGGCAATTAACCTGGCTCGTGAAGCTGGGAGTGGCTGGGGCGGAGAAAGGTGAGGAGAGCGCGCAACAAGAGGGTCTCAAGTGGGTGTGAGTGTGTGATCAGGAAGAGGAGAGGCAAGGGGGTATTGAACGGTTGACATCAGAGGACGATTTAAGTACATAGAACAGATTTTAGGATACCTATACTAGCCTAGATGATCATCAACGCTCGCAGATGACTCTATGGACTCAAGACTCGCAAATTCGCAGCGATCAGCCCATTCTCTCGTAGCCATTCCCAGCGATGCTGAAGGGTGTTTTTGTAGAATTCTCTCGTAGAATGCTCAAAAACACCCCGCAGCGATCAGCGCATTCTCTTGTAGCCGTTACCAGCGATCTACGAATTCGTAGCCAGCTGGGGACGGTTGGTGCTGAGGCAGCTGTTACTGTGCCCCATTACCCCAGGACCTACCCGTGCCCATCGCCCCATACCCTACCCTATCCATCATGCCATACCAAAGCAAACAGTATCTGCTCCCCACCCCAAAGCAATCTCTCGTCGGCCCACTCCTTTCCGTTTGTTTTGAGGCGCCTCAAAAGTTGTCCCATAGTCTCACTCCCACCCTCAACCCGATACCGGTGCTTGTCTCTCCATCCCTCTCCAATCCCCTTTCTCCGTCGCCACCGCCCCGTCTACTGCTCGCCTGCCAGCTGGCAGTGCTGAGAGCACAGGCGGGAGCAACCCCGTTGACCGGGTCAATTGGTCAAACTGACTTTATTCCCTCCTACCGTCTTGCTATCCTCTCCCACCCTTTTCAACCAATGTTTGTCTGCCAGCTGGCGGGGCTGAGAGCACGGGTGGAATCAACCTCGTTGACCGGGTCAACAAGGCGCTCTTTGGGAATGCTGGTGAGTTGGAAATGGGCCTGGTTGTGGCTTGAGTGCGTTGACCTCGTTGACTGGGTCAACAAGGCGCTGTTTGGGAGTGCTGGTGAGTTCTCGATGGGTGTAATTGTTGCACAGCTGATTACAACTGCGTTGACCTTGTTGACTGGGTCAACAAGGCGCTGTTTGGGAATGCTGGTGAGTTTGACATGAGGTATGGTGGTCAGCTTGGCTGCATTGACCTCGTTGACTGGGTCAACAAGGCACTCTTTGGGAATGCTGGTGAGTCGTGTTGTAGTGAAGGTGCTTGCATAGACGTTGACTATGACTGCGTTGACCTCGTTGACCTGGTCAACAAGGCACTGTGAGAGAGTCTTGGCTGAGTTGAGTGACTGTTGTAGCATGGGTTGACCTGGTTGACCTGGTAACCCTAGGGCTTTTGTCTCCACCAGGCAGGCCCTCGCTACAAATTTTGAGACGTCTCAAGAATTTCTCCTTACAGACTCATTTGTCCTCATAACCTATATACCGGTGCCCTTTTTCCTGTTACGCACCATTTTTCCCCGACTTTCATTTCATGCCTGCATAGCTGAGATGAAAGTCGGGGAAACATTGGCTAAAATGGTGCTCAAGAGGCGAAGAAGGCAGCAGGCAGCAGATGGCTCGAAAGCACCAAGGAGGGCAATTCGGGTTGTCGATCATGACCCCTCCCAACCCCCAATTCCCTCCCTCTCTGCTCCCGCCCATCAGCCGAGAAAGCAGCCAAGGAGGCAAAGAAGGCAGCAGGCAGCAGATGGCTTGAGAGCACTAAAGAAAGCACGCTGGTGTGGTCTGTTGATCATGCCCTGTCTCACCCCCCTCCCCCTCGTGCTCTCTCTCTCTGCTCCCATCCATCCATTCACCAGCCGAGAAAGCAGCCAAGGAGGCGAAGGAAGCAGCGGGAGGCAGATGACATGAGAGCACTAAAGAGGGCACCTTGGTGAGGCGGTGTTGATGCTGGTCTCTGCCCCCTATCTCCTGATCAGCTGAAAAGGCAGCTAAGGAGGCGAAGAAGGCAGCGGGCAGCAGATGGCATGAGAGCACCAAAGTAACCCTTGTGAGGTGGTGTTGCTGATTCCGATTCGTCTCCCCGTTTCCCTGTCTCACCACCCCTCCGTGTTTCAGCTGAAAAGGCAGCTAAGGAGGCGAAGAAGGCAGCGGGCAGCAGATGGCATGAGAGCACCAAGGGCACGCTCGTGAGGCGGTGCCGCGTTCCCAACGTCAGCGAGGGGAGGAGAACCCTTCGCGCGTTGATGGCCCTTCTCTCTGAAGACGACCTTTTCACTGACGCCACCTCGCACAAGGTAAGGAATCGGCACAGGTGAACCACTTGCACACAAGAGGCTGAGCAGCAAGGGCACCCTCGTGAGGCAGTGCCGTGTGCCCAACGTCAGTGAGGGGAGGTGCACTCTCCGATCTCTCATGGCCCTGCTGTCTGAAGATGATCTCTTCACCGACGCCACCTCGCACAAGGTAAGTGTGCGGCACACTAGAGAGAGCTGAGGGGAGGAGGACTCTCCCTTGTTAATGGCCCTTCTGTCTGAAGACGACCTTTTCACTGACGCCACCTCGCACAAGGTAAGTGACTTTTGCACAGGTCACACGGGTTTGGCTTTTGAGAGCATGAGAGGCATGAGGTGGCATGAGGTGGCATGAGGTGGCATGAGGTGGCATGAGGTGGCATGAGAGCACCAAGGGCACGCTGGCGCGGCGGTGTCGGGTGCCCTATGTCAGCGAGGGGAGGAAGATGATCTCTGAGAATAATCTGCATGGGATGGGATGGGATGGGATGGGAGCATGAGAGGCGTGAAAGGCATAAGAGCGCGTCGTGAGGGCGGGATTTGATGAGCTGCCCACGCCACACTGCATAGTGGAGGTCACTCTTGTACGTGGAAATCACTTTTGAGAAATCTCATAAGTGATTCTCAGTAGTGGAGGTCACTCCTGTACCCTTTCACCCACGCTCTCCTCCCCTCCCCGCCTCCCCTTCACTGTCTACCTTCCTCCCCGGCCCATATTTTCCACCCCAACAGGGCTATCAGATCCGCAGGGAGTCAGCGCACAGCGAGACCGTGTGCTGCAACAACGTGAGGGCCATGTTTGACGAGCTGCCCACACCACACATCGTGGTCGAGGTCACTGTCTTCCCCTCGGGGGCTCACTGCCTCCCTCCCCTCGCACTTTGCCCACACTACACATCGTGGTCGAGGTCACTGTCTTCCCTGCCTTCCTTTCTCTCCCCCGCTACCACAACAGGGCTGCCAAATCCGCAGGGAATCAGCCCACAGTGAGACAGTCTGCTGCAACAATGTGAGGGCCATGTTTGATGAGCTGCCTACGCCACACATCGTGGTTGAGGTCACTGTCTTTCCCCCTGGCCCTCTCACTGCCATGGAGTACCAGAAGGCCGAGAAGCTAGAGGCGGTGCTTAAAAAGGGGCGGTCTATATAGAGGGGATTACTGTAGATGATGTTAACATTTTGAAGAAAGAAATTACTATGATGAAGACAACACACCCCCCCTCGGGCCCTCTCACTGCCGTGGAGTACCAGAAGGCTGAGAAGCTCGAGGCGGTGCTTAAAAAGGGGCGGTCAATATAGAGGGTATTACTGTAGATGTTTATGTTAACACTTCGAAGAGAGAAATTATATGATGAAGACAACACATTCCCCCAGGCCCTCACACTGCCATGGAGTACCAGAAGGCCGAGAAGCTCAAGGCCGTGCTGAAAAAAGGGCGGTCTATACAGAGGGGATTAGTGTAGATGGTATTGTTATGTGTTGCTTGAGAAATACATACGGAGAGGAGTACGTCTTCAACCCTGGGTCTGCTCACTGCCATGGAGTAGCAGAAGGCTGAGAAGCTCGAGGCCATGCTTGTAACTGGGTGCTGCTCAATATAGAGGATGTTACTGTAGATGTTACGTTTCTTCTTATGGCAAAGAGAACTCATGTCCGCCAGAGGCCTCACTGCCAACTTGGATTAAAAGGCTGAGAAGGCACAGATAAGCTTACACAAACAGTTGAGGTGTAGTGGTGGTCCTTGAGCAGTCTATTGTCCATACAGTAGATTCAGTACCGTTGTCCCAAGCACGCTATTTTTGAAGTGAAGCTTGCTAGACAAAATCTTGACAACCTTAAGTCTGTTGCCCAATCACTGTATAGTGGTATCGGTAGATAACAGGCTTGCTTCAAACAGCACATAGAGCACACCAAAAGCCAAAACACGGTAATAGCACAAGAGGAGCCAAGCAGAACGGAAGGACGTGTCCAAGCACTCTCGAAACCAAACAACTGACACCCCACCCACCCCCATACTCCCCCTTGTTCCCCCCCTCCTTCTCCTTGTTCTTCCCCAGCCACCACAGGAGTGAGGGCGACAGTGGGAGGGAAGCGCACAGGCGAGAGCACCTTGTGAACTGCATGGGCAATGTTGAGAATCTCTCCCCTCCCTGCTTCCCTCTCTCCCCTCCCTGCTTCCCTCTCTCCCCTCCCTGCTTCCCTCTCTCCCCTCCCTGCTTGCCTCTCTCCCCTCCCTGCTTCCCTCTCTCCCCTCCCTGCTTCCCTCTCTCCCCTCCCTGCTTGCCTCTCTTCCCTCCCTGCCTCCCTCTCTCCCCTCCCTGCTTGCCTCTTCCCTCTCCCTGCTTCCCTCTCTCCTCCCTGCCTAATTCTTCCCTCACTCACTTCCCTTCCCTGCTTTCATCTTCCCTATCCTACACCCCCTCTTGTATTCTCCCCTCTTCAATCACTCTCCCTTGCTCTCTCCTTCCTTCTCCTTGTTCTTCCCCAACCAGCCAGCCACCACAGGAGTGAGGGCGACGGTGGGAGGGAAGCGTACAGGAGAGAGCGCCTTGTGGGCCGCATAGGCAATAGCAAAGGTGCCTACTGCCTCTCCTGTGCTGTCCACATGCAGGCCAATCTGATGAGGCGGCGAGGGAGGATGGGGGGAGAGAACAGGAGATTAGAGGAGCGTACAGGAGACAGGGCATGGTAGGCCGCATAGGCAATAGCAAAGGTGCCCATTGCCTCTCCTGTGCTGTCCACGTGCAGACCGAGCTGATTGGGGGAGGGGGAAGAAGGGAGGAGAAGAGGGGAACAGATGGTGCGGAGAGGGGAATTTGGGATCAGGAGGAAAGCAGACAGGTGAGAGGGCCTTGTGGGCCGCATAGGTTACAGCAAAGGTGCCCACTGCCTCTCCTGTGCTGTCCACGTGCAGACCAAACTGATGGGGAGAAAAGGGGCGATGGGGGAGAGAGAGCAGAAGATTAGAGAAGTGCACGGCACGGGGAGAGAGCGCCTTGTGGGCTGCATAGGCAATAGCAAAGGTACCCACTGCCTCTCCTCTGCTGTCCACATGCAGGCCAATCTGATGGGGAGAAGAGGGAGGATGGGGGGAGAGAAAACAGAGGATTAGAGGAGCGCAAAGGAGAGAGAGCCTTGTGGGCCGCATAAGCAATGGCGAAGGTACCCACTGTCTCCCCTGTGCTGTCCACGTGCAGGCCAATCTGATGGGGAGGGGAGGCATGCAGAGATGTATGACAAAGCAGGCAGCAGAGGGAGAAAGAGACGGGGAAGAGTGGAGAGAAGGCACCGACATATAGTACGCGACATAAATATGCAGACTCATTGAGCAAACGAGTCAGCTCTTACCGAGTCAAGGAGTCCAGCCACGTCCACGCCTTGGTCCACGAGCACATAGCAGAGGGAGAAGGAGACGAGGGAGAGGAAGGAGTCGAGTGCCGTAAATAGTGTTTCTGGTGGAAACAAAGCAAGATCACTTAACGAGTCAGCTCTTACCGAGTCGAGCAGCCCAGCGACGTCCACGCCTTGGTCCACGAGAGGTAGCAGAGGTTGAAGGAGAGTGCATTCATCTCTTAACGAGTCTGCTCTTACCAAGTCGAGCAGCCCAGCCACGTCCACGCCTTGGTCCACGAGCACATAGCAGAGGGAGAAGGAGACGAGGGAGACGGAGGGAAGGCACCAACATGTACCACATCACATACATAAGTAGACTTATTGAGCAAACGAGTCAGCTCCTACCGAGTCAAGGAGCCCAGCCACGTCCACGCCTTGGTCCACGAGCACATAGCAAAGGGAGAAGGAGACGAGGGAGAGGGCGATGGAGGTCCCAAGGTACGCTCCCCCATAGCGAGTCAGCAGGTCCTTGGCCACCTCCGCGTTGCTCCCAGCCTTCAAAGAGGGGGGAGAGTGGGAGAGGGGGGAGGGAGAAGGAGGGGGGGAGAGTTAAGGGAGGTTGAGGGCAATGGAGGTCCCAAGGTATGCACCCCCATAGCGAGTCAGCAGGTCTTTGGCCACCTCCGCGTTGCTCCCAGCCTTGAGGGAGGGAGGAAGGGGAGGGAAGGGCTCAGAGAAAAGGCGAGCAAGGGTTGAAGGGCGATGGAGATACCAAGGTCAGCAGGTCCCTTGCCACCTCCGCGTTGCTCCTAGCCCAGCCTAACAACAGGGACCCGCGAGACAGAGAAGGTGGGGAGGGGGGTGGTTGCAGGGAGAGGGTTCGCGATAAATTTCCCGAGGAGAGTCACCCCATAGCGAGTCAGCAGGTCCTTCGCCGCTTCCCTGTTGCTCCGGAATGGTGCATCAACACCAGCAGCCGCTGAGTTGGTTCCAAAAGCACTGCTGTTGCTGTACGTAAGTCAGCTGCCATTATAGTGGGAGCACACCTATTTTGGTGGGGGTATGCTGCGCATTTTGCTTCTCACTTTCCATCTCATTTCGTTTTCTCTTCTTGTATTCATCACTCTCATCCGTTGACCCATTTCTGCACTCTATCACCTCCATCACTAACACTCTACCCATGCATGGGAATTTCACATCTTTCGCAATTTTCCCCTCCCACCTGCCTTACAAATCCCAACCATCTCTCACCTTCCATAGGCCGGCTTCAAGACCCCATTTCCGGGTAACTTCCTCCGCTTCGTCCGCAGGAGAAGCCGCGGAGGAGGCTGGTGGCGAAGAAGAGGTCTGGCTGTTGGCGCTGCCGTTAGCGCTGCTGTTAGAACTGGTGGTGTTGTTGTTGCTGGTGTTGGTGTTACTGCTGCTGGGCGTCGCTCCTGTTTCTCTCGTTTCTGCAGAAAAGTAAGACAGCAAGCGCGAAACGGAGATATTTGAATGAGGTGGACTCGAGGGAAATGCATCTTGAGTTGAAACCAAATGACGCTATAGCGAGGACATCAAGCGGTTGAATGCGAATCTGATCTGAGCGAGGTGAATTCCACTTATTCGCGAAAGGCAACATGTTTACGATCCACTCGAAAGCCATGTTTTGAGTCGACTCAAAACGCGAATCTGATCTGAGCGACGTGAATTCCACCTATTCGCGAGGGGCAACATGTTTACGATCCACTCGAAAGCCATTGACGCAAGTCAGCAAACCAAAGTCGGTAAGCGGTGGAATGTGAATCCAATCTCTGAGAGGTAAAATCGAGGAAGAACTGTCCCCGAGACCGCTCGCTCGGAGGTGACAAGGAAATCAACTGCTACCGAAGAATATATTCCCCGTAAGAAATCTGCAAACTGCAAGCTCTTGCACCTGGAAGCAATTTGCAGTCGAGTAATAACGCTTTCGACGCACCTTGAAGGGAGCTCCGGGCTGAAATCCTTAACGGCCTGCTACGCGCTCGGCTGGTTAGAGCAGCGCAAGATGGTAGTCGCGAGCACGTAGATAGATTCGCGAGGCTGCGGTTCGCCGCTGAGGTAGCGACAGCGATGGTTGCGACGCTCTCCGCCGAGATAAGAGCAGCCATTGTAGCTACTGACGAGCGTCGAAACGGGATCAGGGAGGAGCAGCGTGCTGCTGCCACGAAAATAGAATAGAGTACAGATGCTCTAGCCGAGCGGTACTTAGTCAGTCAATAGTAGCCGGCGCGCACGCGTTTCGATCAGGCGGAGTCGAGAAAGGTCTGTTGACGGGAGGCCAGCTGACGGCTGCTTCTATTTCGTAACGGAAAAGTGGGTCGTGTGTAATGTATGGCGGAATGTGGTTGATACGGGGTGAGTTGCGACCGAAAGCGTCGCCTGAGTGTGTAGATTAAAGGTACGATAGACGTAAGCTCGTGCCGCGTTCGTGAAAAGTTGGACAGAACTGACCCATTGCCTGTCACAACAAAACGAAGAGCGAAAGAAAGGAGCAATCAAGGTGGGATGATAACGCTGCTCTTAGCTCTAAGTGTGAGGAAGAACGCTGCTCTTAGCTCTGACAGAAGACAGCAACCCAAGTGCTCATGTTAGGAGGCGAGAAGGAGAAAACACGAGGTGATATATGTTTCGGTAGGATCTGGTACGGTGAAATATGTGTTTTGGTGGATGGGAAATTCCCATTTCGAGCCGTCGTACATTCTAACCCGAGGTGCCACGTCATCTGAAGATGCCCCAGAAAGTGACGACGTGGCTGCGACGGTTCGTAGGTGTGTCTGTGGTGGCGGATAACGAGGCGAGCTTCAACTTCGCGCCACGTGCCATTCTCGAGCTTGTCCCTCGCATTGCATGAAAAAGTGCAAATGGGCTGGGATGTGCACTCGGAATGTTGTTTGAACAGGCTACACATATATTAATGTCACACATTTATGTCACAAAAACTAGAGAAGACGCCCATTGGCGCTTTTCAACTCCATGTATTCATGATTTCAGCTAGAGAATCCAGCTCAAATTCTAGCGCTCACACTATGTGAATCTGTGTCTACCATTGATGTAAAATGCGACTCGGTAAGAGCGTGGGGCTCCCAAGAACCAGCGTTCTTTTGTGATATGACGTGCTCCACAGAGTGCTGATGAGGAGACGCCAGAGCTGATGCGTAAGAGGGTTGTACAAACGGCTGAAATTGCAGCTGCACGGATGAAATTGGAGGCTGAGCAGCAGCAACTCGCTCGTCCTCCTTCCTCTGCTCTTCCATTGCCTGAGCCAGCTGCATCATCTCATACTCCTGTCTCGCCTCCAGCTGCTGCAGCAGAGAGTCCAGCAAGGCATCCACGTGTGGCTGCTGAGCTGGCATGTGGACATGCTGAACTGGATGCTGCTGAGTTGGCATGTGGACATGCTGGACTGGAAACTGCTGAGATGGCATATGGACATGCTTTTCTGGTTGAATCTCATGCTGCATCAGACGTGCTCTGCTGTATCCAGGCAGCGGCACCCGAACCTGCTTTCGCTGTTGAACCCACACTGCCTCCCTCACCCTTCTCTCCTCCTCCTCCTCTTCCATCTCCAACAGCAGCGCTTTCAGCTGCCCGCCCATCGTTCCTTCCACTCCTCTCTTCCCAGCCTGCTCCCAGACTCCCTGGTGCGGCTGCATCGGCATCACAGCTTGCTCCCATGATCTCTTTCTCGAAACATCACTGGTGTTGGTATCGATTGGTGTTGGTACCAGCGGTGTTCTCAAAAGAGGTCTTGAATCACATCTTTGAGGGGGAAAGGGTTCAGCGAGGCAAGTGAATGGGACGATGCTGTGTGAAGAGTGGGGGAGGGGCAGGGTCGAGCAGCTTCTGTGCATTGCTGCTGCCTGTGCTGGTGGGGCTTCAAAAGGGGGAGGAGGAGCAGCAGGAAAAGGGGCAGCAGGAGAAGCAGCAGCAGGAGAGACAGGAGCCTTCACAGCAGGAGCAGCTGTAGAGGAAGAAGTAGAAAGCACAGGTGTGTTGAGCAAAACGTTAGCGCCCAGAGCCGCCAGAACAGCAACACACGCGGAGACATGCCTCGGCAGGGTTGGCGCATCCCCCGGTAGGGTAGGCACATGCACCGGCAGAGACGGCAGCCCATCTCCAGCAGCAGCAGCAATGGAGTTCGCATCAACGGCAGCTGTGGCGCCAGCAGTGCCTGTGATGGCTGTGGCTTGATCAAGCAGCAGCAGCACCTGTGCCGTCAGACTGTCTGGAGATGGCGACAGCAGCTGCTGCAGCAACTGCGACCTCGTGTGCCCCCCAGAGACGCCACCACAGGTACTGCCAGTGGGGGTGGGAGCAGCAGGGGTTCTGGTACCGCTCTCCACCGCAGTGGGATCAGGGAAGTTTGAGTGGGCGACAATTGCAGGGTCAGATGTGGGACTGAAGGGGCACGCAGCTGAGGAAAGAAGGGAAGCCAAGCTGGTCACGGGAGGCAGAGGCGACGCCGAAACGCCGACTGCTGTGCTCGGATTGGTCGGCGGAGACAGCACGGTCGGAGTAAGGGGTCTCATCGCGTCTTTGGGGTCTCTCTCAAAGGATTGTTGAGAGGATTGGGCTCTTGCCTTGCTGCCCAGGCCGCCCTGAGAGGAGTGTTGAGTCGACTGGGACATCGGGGGCAAGACGGGATGTGCGAGAGGCCTCGTCCACTCTCCCCCAGAAGCGAGCAGGCGTCTTCTCTTGCTGTGCGGACCGCTGTGTGATGACAGGGGACGTGCTTCCGCCTGGGCCTCGTTATAGGTGGCGATTTCAGCGGCAGGGGCAGCAGCAGGGGCGGCTGTAGGGGCGGCTGTAGGGGCAATTGCATGGGAAGCGCGAGCGGGGAGGGATCGCATGTTGCCTGAAGATTCCGTCCATACAGCCCCCAAAGCCCCATCCCCTAGAGGCTCCGAGGCTTCAGGCCCCGTCGGCGGACCGTCTGGGGGAAGACGTTGCGCCAAACTTTCCGCCAGACGTTGCGGAAAGTTGAGAGGGGCGGAAGGACCGAGGAGTTTGAGAGCAGCGCGGTCGTACTCCCTTGCAGCAGCTTCCGCCGTGCGGAAGGATCCGAGCCAGACGCGCGTTCGGAGGCGCGGGTGAGGGATTTCCGCGACCCAGGAGCCCCACTTGCGCTGGCGCACTCCGCGGAAGGCGTTGCGCGCGTTCTCCGGGCCTCCGCGCGGAGCCTCGCGCGGCGGAAGGCCCATCAGGCGCGACCAGCGCCGAGACATGACGGATGCGGAGGGTAGTCGTGGCAATATTATCCACGTTGATTTCTATAGCAGCGGAACCAGACGAGTCGCGTCTGCAGAGAAAAGGCGAAAATGGATTCTGCGGGCGCGGAGATAATCCTTAGTCGCGCAGCAGGGGATGAAGAGGAAGTGGAAAAAAGGCCGCCTCGTTGTACAGTAAGAACGTGACGGGGACTTGTATGGTCAAAACGTCTCCTTGAATCCGCCTAAGAGAGTAGTAATGACCGGGGGAAAGGGCAAGTAGTGGACCAAGCGCTTTGTAAGACGAGATCGGGAATGAATCGCGCGTGAATGGATCTGGATTAGCGACATGCTAGCTTTTACAACTTGAAACTTTCCGGGCGTCTCGCTTGCAACTCAGCATCTCACCCTCACTCTCACCTTCTTTCTCTCCCTCCCCTCCCTCCTCCTCCCTCTCCTTCCACCCTCTTCGACTTCTCTCCCCACTCTCGTTGATTCTTTCCCTCCACTCTCTCTCGCCCACCATTTTCTCTCACTCTGCTATTGGTCTCAAGACGAGTCCACTTCACCCTGCCAGTCCATCCAGTTCAACTGGTTCATCCCCTACATTCCGCAACTCTACCGCCTTTTCCTCCTCTCCTGAAAAGCTGGAAGGAACTCGCTCACGTGAGGTGCGCAGAAACCGCAAGATTTCCGACAGTTCAGATTCTGAATCTAAGAAATGGGCGGCGTAGTTTAGGAACGATTGAGCTGCAGTACCTTCGATTGAAAGAGGAACAATCGCGACCACTTGCCGCCGGTGTCCTGACCAGCGGCGTGCTAATCCGGGCTAGCCTGTCTTCGGAGCTGACGTGGGTCTGCTAGCATGCACTGGGCAGCCAGGCATTAAAATAAAAGTGGCTTTGGCGCAAGTCCTGATCCCGGGTGCCGTCGATACGCATAACGGTCGATTTTTGGGCAAAGTGCATCGTGTAGCGACCGTGATAACGCCACCAACGAATGGCTCGAATAAAGAATTTCGAAACTTGCATGCCCTACATACTGTTGCTCCTTGTTTGCGCGGAAGTCTACTCAGCACTGGCAGCATATGGGTTACTATGGTGGCTTTATGCGTGGTTCGAAAACTCAGCGATTCCTAATCGGCTCTCCAATCCAGGATTAGAGAGAAAATCTAGATACGAAAGGTGCAAAGGCACAGCGAATAAGCAACGGCAAAACGTACACGTGGAAGCAGCGGACGTCAAGGGTGCTTGCCGAATTTAGCGAAGGGCAGACGAAGAAATTCACCGTAGGATTATGATGTACACATCAGCTTCGTTCTCGTGGAATAGTGGTGGTGGTCCTCACTTAGACAAGAGCGTGCAATCGAAGCTGCTTCCTCACCGCCATTTTCGAGCGTAAAAGACATCGCGCTGGAGGCTGGTCACGTCATGCACGAGCAAACCCTAATACTGATTCGTCCAACAAAGTTTTCAAGGAATTTCCGAGATTCATTTTGAGACACAGAAATGGAGGGCGACGAAGAAAACGGAAAACCTCGAGCATTCCCTATCCCAACAGCAAACTTGCACACATAATCAAATACTGTAGGAAGAATGCCGAGATCTGCAGTGCAGTGTAGAGAATCTCCAATAAAAAGTGTACACCCTAATCCGCCTTATTTTCAAAGCCTCGACCGTATTTTGAAAGAGACCCTAAGTACTTTTTTGCCTAGTGAGATGGACACCCAGAGATTAGAAGGATATACGAAAATACGGAAAGCAAACCGAGCTGACGGAACTCGCACTTAGCAAGCCAATTGAAAGGGAGTTTCGGCACGGATGAAGTGGCTGCTTGCAGTTAGCTCGCATGGGATATGCGAGTCTATCCACCCGCATATTTCAGTCTACATGAGCTACTCTCCTGACCTAGCCTGACTTAGGGTAGTCACCCCAGGCTTTGAAGATAACGTCGTTGAAAATATGGTGGATCAGGTGTACCGTATCGAAGGAGATGGGTCAACATTGTGACGGCCGTCACGTTTCTACGGTTTCGCAAACCGAGGAACCGTTAGACTTAATCGTCGCATGTCTGTTGCTGCTGCTGTCGGCCCACGGAACTTGACGACCTTCACGTTGTGCGAACCAAAGCAGTTGCCGCGGATTCGGTACTGCTCATGTGTGTTTGAGATGCGAGAAGCAAACATCTGGAGTTTCTACGAATCAGATTTAACAACATGCACTGCTTTTTATAAATTTGGACAGACTCACCTTTCTGGAGCTCAACATCAATGGGCTCGGCAGTGCAGGGAAACAGGAACGGTGCGGAAAATGGATAAGGAAAGCTGCAAGCGTTGTAATCCTCACTGATACTCGGATTCCGACGGATCACAACTTCTGGACTCAGGTCAGGGCGGAGGCCCAGGCAGTCATTTCACCGTCGCAGGGAGCTGGTGGTGTGGCTGTTTTGGGCTTCCTGAAAGGGATGCGGTTTACAGAGGTGGTTAAACACGAATCAGGTCGGCTAGTAAGCTTGATGGTAACATGGCAAGGTTTAAGGTGCAGGGTGGTTGCGGTGTACTTACCGGAGCAAGCTGCTACCATGGGTGTTTTCTTCCGTGATGTGCTAACACCTTTCGTGCAGAACCTGAGCACAGCACCGTACACGATCCTCCTGGGAGATCTAAACATTGTTGCAGATCCGGAGTTGGATAAATCTTCCAAGTTAGGTTCAGCAGCCGAGAACCAGAGGCTGCTGCAGATCTGTTCGGGGTGGGAGTTGCAAGATGTCTTTCGCAACCTTCATCCGACACGCAAAGAATACACCTTTTTCTCGAGATCTGCACGCACGAGCACGAGGATAGACAGAATCTTAGTCTCTCACTCCCTCATCAGTTGTGTCGTAGAGGCGAAACACAAGATGGTTCCTTACGGGTTGACGGATCACTGGTTCGCGGTAGCAATGACACTGAAATTGGCCTCGTCGGAAGGAGATGGTCCAGGCCTTTGGAGATTACAGGCCCCCCAGTCCGGCGGAGAGGGTACGCGGAACATCATCTCGGCGGTTCTGGATGCCCAGGAGGGCCGTCCTGATCAGGGCCTGGAGCGGTTGATCACGAACCTGCGGGCGGGCATGAGAGCGCACGTGGCAGAAGAACGTAAGCGGATACGGGCAACCATCACACACTTGGAGAAGAAGGTGGAGAACCTACGGTGGAGGGTGATGGCGGACCCGGCGGCGCAAGACATATATGAGGAGCTGGTGAAGTGTGAGGTGGCCCTGAAGCTGTACCACGACAGTAACAAGGAGAGGCTGCAGGTCATGACGGGTTTGATGGTCGAGCTGGCTGGGGAGACGCCTTCGCCATTCCTGTCTGGCCTGGTCAAATCAAAGAAGGCCAAGACGGAAATTAGTGAGCTCCTTTTCAAAGGACGGCAATACAAAGGCGCGAGGGAGGTGCTGGCCACGGCTTCAGAATACTTCAGGGAGGCTTACGCGGCCCCGAGTCAGCACGACCTTACCAAGCCATGGCAGATAGAGGAGGGTCGCATGCTGCAGGAGGCCGATCAGAGGCAATTGAGTCGGGGGTGGACGGAGCAGGAAGTGAAGACGGCGCTCAAAGGTCTCCCTTCAGGGAAAGCGCCGGGGCAAGATGGGCTGCCTAAGGAGTTTTTTTAACGGAATTGGGACCTACTGGGGCCGGCGTTGATGAAGGAGATCCGAGTCTTCGAAGAGTCGGCGGTTCTCTCGGAGTCCTTCACCACTGCTGTCACCATCCTTCTGCACAAAAAAGGAGACTGGGATTCTTTAAGCAATTACCGCCCTATCACTTTACTGAGTTTTTTCTATAAGTTGCTGGCGAAGGTGCTGGCGAATAGAATCAGAACGGCTTTACCACGGACGATATCTCCGAATCAGTTTGGCTTCCTCCACGGGAGAAGTCTGAAGGATGCGGTTGCGCTAGTTGCGGATGTGATTGATGCGGCGGCGGAGGAGGATGAAGACTGGCTGCTACTCCTTGTTGACTTTCAGAAGGCGTATGACTCCGTATCCCGAGAGTACCTGTTTGGGACACTGAGGGGCATGGGCTTTCCGGAGCGGTTCACGGCGTGGGTGAAGGTTTACACGAAGGGGCAGCTACGAGGTTGCTGCTCAATGGTTGGACAGGTGAACGGGTGGAGATGCACTAGGGAGTGAGACAGGGGTGCCCGCTCGCGCCATACCTGTTTCTCTGCGCGGTTGAGCCGCTCTGCCAGGAAGTGGAGAGAAGGGGGCTGGGGGTAAGGAAAAGAGGTGTATCTGGAGAGTTGGCGTACGTCGGCTATGCCGATGATACCACATTGGTGCTGAAGGGGAAGGATCAGGTGATCAGGGCAAAGTCCTTGTTGGAGGATTTCGCTGGGATCTTGGGCCTGCGGATTAACCGAGACAAAACGATACTGATACCGCTGGGTATCAACAGGAGACGTACGCAACTAGACGACTCACCTTTCACTTGGGCGGTAAAGGATACGCCGGAGCGATTGCTGGGTGTGTGGATCACGTCCGGGGGTTCACCAGTGCCGGCGTGGGTCAAAGCCTTTGAACGGGTGAGCGCGGTTCTCAGCTGTTGGGCGACGAAGCACTTAAAGACCTCGGCGAGGGTCACCATCATCAACTGCTACGCGATGCCGATTCTGCTCTTTCAGGCGCAGATCTATGCCCCACCGCAGGACATCTCGAAGAAGGTGCAGCGGCTGTGTCACAACTTCATCACAGACGGGAAGTCGCTTTTCGACAAGCACTTCATACTGTGGAGCTTTGAGCTATCCTGCAGGGAGCGGAGGGAAGGAGGGTTGGGAGTCATTGACCCAAAACACAGAGTTAACAGCATGGTCATTCAAGCACTTGGGAGAGCAGTCGCAGAACAGGACCCAATGAGGAACTGGTTGTGGGAGAAGGCGGCGGGCTTTCCCCTCGGCCTGGCGACAGTGTATGCACATCACTCGATACTGAAATACTGGCTGAAAGGGGGA